TGGGTTATTTGATTGTCTGGAGTCTAATTTCTATGGTTCTTTGTATATTTTGGATATTAGCCCTCTATCAGATGTTGGATTGGTAAAGATCTTTTCCCAATCTCTTGGTTGCAGTTTTGTCCTGTTGACAGTGTCCTTTGCCTTACTGAAAACTTGCAATTTTATGAGGTCCTGTTGTGGAAGCCCTGATCTTGTATTTTGATGCTAATTCTGCTTTCCTGGGAGGGGCTGCAGATGAGGAGTCAATCAGTACACAGGTGACTTCTTGTGAACCTTCTGCTCACCTTAATTTGTAGAATGAAAGCTAGATCCAGTGATTAGGCATTAGAAGGGGAGGTGGAGTGAAAAGATTTGGGAGAAGAGAGGAGGAGGAAGATGGAGGGGAAGGTGGAAGGACAATGGAGGAGAAGCATGTGGCCTGGAAAAACCACAAGTTATAAAGGGTCTCATAGATGGGGAGTAGAGTTGTGTAGTGGTGAATCTGCCCAATCTAGGCGTGCAGTGTGTATTCATAATATTTGAGGTTTTTTTTATTGATCAGGCCTTCTTGCGTTGGAGAGTTACTGAAATAGGTCCCATGTGTCAATTCTTGAACTTAGAGCATAAGACATTAGTGTTCTGTTCAGGAACTTTCCCCCAATGCCTGTGTTTGAGGCTCTTCCCCACTTTCTCTTCTACTAGTTTCAGTATATCTGGTTTTATGTGGAAGTCCTTGATCCACATAGACTTGATTTTTGTACAAGGAGATAGGAATGACTCAGAAATAAAACTACATACTTGATCTTTGACAAAGAATCCAAAACTATACAGTGGAAAAAAGAAAACATTTTCAACAAATGGTACTAGTCTAACTGGCAATCAGCATGCAGAAGAAAGCAAATTGATCCATTTTTTAATCTCCTAGTATGAAGCTTAAGTCCTAGTGGATCAAGGGCAACATATAACCAGACATACTGAATGTAATAGAAGAGAAAGTCAGAAAGAGCCTTGAATGCATTGACACAGGGGAAAATTCCTGAACAGATCACCAATGGTTCAAGTTCAACAATTGACAAATGGGACTTTATGAAATGAAAAGTTTCTGTAAGGCAAATGACACTTTCAATAGAACAAAATGACAACCTACAGATTGGGAAAAGATCTTCACCATCCCCATATCTGATAGAGGGTTAATATTCAAAATATACAAAGAACTCAAGAAGTTTGACTCCAGAAAACCAAATAACCCAATTAAAAATGGAGTAGAGAGCTAAACAGAATTCTCAACTTGAGGAATCTCAAATGGCCAAGAAGCACTTAACGAAATGTTCAACATCTTCAGTCATCAGGGAAATGCAAATCAAACTGACCTCGAGATTCCACCTTACACCAATCAGAATGATTAAGATCAAAAACTCAAGTGACAGCACATGCTTAAGAGTATGTGGAGAAAGAGCAAAACTTCATTGCTGGTGGTATTGCAAACTGGTACAAACACTCTGGACATCAATTTGGAGGTTCCTCAGAAAATTGGAAATGGTTCTACTTGAAGACCCAGCTATGCCACTCCTGGGCATATACCCAACAGATGCTCCACTGTACCACAAGGACACGTGCTCCACTATGTTCATAGCAGCCTTATTTGTAGTAGCCAGAAGCTGAAAACAACCCAGATATCCCTCAACTGAAGGATGAATATAGAAAATGTGGTTCATTTAAACAATGGAATACTACTCAGCTATTGAAAACAAGGATATCATGAATTTTGCAGGCAAATGGATGGAGCAAGAAAATATCATTCTGAGTGAGGTAACCAATGCTCCAAAGGACATATGTGGCAGGTACTCACCAATGAGTGGATATTAGCCAAAAAGTTCAGAATACCCATGATACAACTCGCAGACCATATGAAGCTTAACAAGAAGGAAGGCCCAAGTGTGGATATTTCAATCTCATTTAGAAGGGGGAACAAAATAATCACATGAGGCAGAGGAAGGAAGGGACCTGGGTGGGATAGGGGAGGAGGAGGCAAAAGTGGGTACAGATAAAGTATGTGAGGAGACAGGAGAGAGGGCCAGTAGACTGAATATAAATATGCTGCAGTGAGGAGTGGGGGATGGGGAGAACCCATAGAAAGTCCCAGACACCAGGAATATGAGAGGCTCCCAGGACCCAATGGGAATTACTTTAGCCAAAATATGCAACAAATGAGAGATAGAGCCTGAAGAGACCACCTCTACCCACCCATCCTAAAATTTTTGATCCAGAATTGTTCCTGTCTAAAGGAAATACAGGGACAAAATGGAGCAGATATTCAAGGAAAGGCCATCCAGAGACTGCCTCACCTAGGGATCCATCCCATCTGTAGACACCAAACCATTACACTACTGCTGATGCCAAGAAGCACTTGCTAACAGAAGCCTGGTATAGCTGTCCCCTGAGAGGCTCTACTAGCATCTAATACAGATGTAGATACGCATAGCCAACCATCTGACTGAGCCCAGGGATTCCAAAGGAAGAGTTAGGGGAATGAATGAGGGCAACTCCATAGGTAGAACAACAATGTCAACTTTGGGCCACTCAGAGCTCCCAGGGACTAAACTACTAACCAAAGAGTATACATCTAGGGATCTATGGCTCCAGCTATATATGTAGCAAAGGATTGTCTTATCTGGCATCAGTGGGAGGGAAGGCCCTTGGTACTTTGAAGACTTGATGCCCCAGTGTAGGGGGGTGCTAGAGTGGTGATGTAGGACTGGGTGTGTGGGTGGAGGAGCACTCTCATTGAGGAAAAGGGGAGTGGGGATAGGATGGGAGTGTTTGTGGAGGGGAGACTCAGATGGAAAACCACTGCCAACCATTGGATTGTTGTTAGGGACCCCTATAGAAGAGTTATGGGAAGTACTGAAAGAGCTGAAGAGGATTACAATCCCATAGGAAAAACAACAGTAGCAACTACCCAGACCTCTCAGAACTCCCTGGGACTAAGTCACTGACCAAAGAGCATATATGGGCTGGTTTGTGTCCCCTGCTACTTATGTAGCAGAGGACTGCCTTTTCTGGTCCTTTGGAGACTTGATGCCCCAGAGAAGGGGGATATTAGAATGGTGAGGTGGGAGTGGGTGGGTGGTTGGATGAGCACCCTCTTAGAGGTGAAGTGGGGATCAGGTGGGAGAGATCATGGATGGGGACCTGGGAAATTTGAAATGTAAATAAATAAAATAATTAATAAAAAAGAGTATATCACATTTTGAAAAATAAATTTATAAAAAAAATGAATTTGGATGATAGGAATGAACACAATAGAGGAGAGTAGCAAGCAATTACCTGACCAAAATCTCCAAGTGATTATTTCCCCACAGTGACACTAATTTTAACAACATATTGCCACATCAACAACTTTAGAGTACCAAGGAGATCTGGTGTAAGTAGCGTGTCTAGTTTAAGACAATAAGAAATTACACACTGAATAAAGCAGGAAGAAAGTAGGTGCTCAGAATGCCTTCTTCTAAACTCTAGACTATAGGTGTAAGTCTGTGCTCACAGTAGTCCCATTCCTACCCCATTGAGCACAGTGTAGATATCTTAACACCTCAGACCTAGCCCTTAGATCAGGTCCCATGTACTGATCTTCTGAAACTCTTTAACGAGAAGCCCAGTGTATTGTATCCACCACTCATCTCATAAGCCCCACAGACAGTGAGGAAGAAGACTTTCCTCAACAAAGAGCAGAACATGAAAATATCACAGGAAGATGCTTTTGAGCTCATTGCCAAGCCCAACACCATGAGACATAACCAGGTAGAGGAAAATAGCATACATTCCCATGTACAGGTCTATTTCACAAGTCATGATTGTTTTGGTTTGCACAATTTTCAGACATTGCCTCAATCTGAAATATATCTGTGAGACTTTCAGGCACATTTTCTAGGATGATCAACTCTGTGATATCTGAGGTGGCGATAGGGTTTCTATTTCAATTACTTCTACATCCTTAAACAGGATAGACAGTAGGAAGACTGCCCTAACCAGTGACTGAAGCAGGAGGTCAGTATAGGATACTGACTTGAGTCTGTGTTGACCTGATGAAAACTCACAGTTGAAGATTGCATAGAAGCTTTTTTTCAGTACTCATTTGTATTCATATCATCTTCAGCAAAAAATATAACAGAATATAACAAAACAAAACAAAACCAAAAAAACAAAATGGAAAAGAATCCCATTTATTACAACTACAAGGTTTGCTTGGCATTACTTAGTCTGATACAAAATTGTTTAATTCAGACTCTCCATGCATGTCATGAGATACAACACTTTTCCAAACCATGTATGTGCCAGAAGTGGAGCCTAAAAATAAGAGTTTACCTAGGTATATATTGCTTTGTCCAAATTCAGACATCCTCAGTTCCTACTGTAGGGTATCCTAACACCACACAGGAAATAGAAGGAGGAAATCTATTTCCAAGGCCCAGTATTCATGTGCACATAGGGTATGAAGATTTTTTTAGAAAATGATGTGTTGGGGGAGGGAGTTTAGAGGGAGAAGATGTGAAAATAGTGGTTTTAGCAGATGTGTTACCCTACCTTCCAACTCCCAGCCCTAGGATCTCAGGAGGGCTATGTGCAGTGTGTGCAGAGGTGAGGGGAAGAGAGCACCTACAGTGCTTTTTCATAGGGGAGACTCATGATGGGTGAGGAAGGTGCTTTTTCTTCTTCACTCCCACACCCAGGCATTTCCTGATGGCTATCTGTGTGTGTGCGCATGTGCCCGTGTGTGTGTAAAACTCCAAGTGTGAGACAGCACAGCCCGTTTAGGTCCTTTTTATGAAATAACACAACAGAGAATTGTGTGCAGTCAATTTAATAAAATAGAAAGAAATAAATGTGAGGTTTCAACAATTGTCTTGCACTTTATAGGTAGAAATGAAGAATCAAGAAAGAAAAGTTATGATTTGCAGCATCAATATGAGTGACCATTGCCAGTTTTCTGGAGTTCTGTGAGCCAAAGTTCTTGTGGAGGATTATGATGACTGTTGACAGCTGTCGCTGTTAAATATTGCCTCCTGGAGAACCAAAGCAAGGAGATGTCTTAAATTTAGAGTTGTGCCTTAAAAGTCACAGGTTAAAAATCATTTTTCTTGCTAGAATTTTTGTTTATTTTTCTCTTAGTAGTGTTTAGACTGTATAATAATTAGTATGTGTATTTGTGTGGAAGCCCCAGTGTGGGGGAATTTGAGGGTGAGAATTGGGGAGTGGTTGGAAGGGTGGGGCACACCTCATAGAAGCAGCAGGAAGAGGGACAGGATAAGGAGTTTCTAGGGGGGAAAATGGGGAAAGGGGATAACATCTGAAATGGAAATAAATAAAATATCTAATAAAAATTAATAAATAAAGAAAAAAGTCACAGGCTAAAAATCAATTTTTCTTGCTAGAATTTTTGTCCATTTTTCTCTTAGTAGTTTTTAGACTGTGTAATAATTAGTATGTGCATTTGTGTGTGGTGTGCATGTATGTCCACACATGTGTGGAAATCAGGGCACAACTGTTGGAAGCTAGTTCTCTCTTTCTGCCTTTACATTAGTGATTTTACAGTTTACAAAAGAAAACAAATTAAACATTACCATCATCACTTTAGAATAGTTCAGAGTCTCCTCGTCCTGGTCTAGAAAACATTGTTTGAATTCCGTCACAGCATTTTTAGTAAGAGGTCCGTGTACATATGGACTAAGCAATCCCAGATAGTCTTCCAAAGACACAGATGGGTCAATTGTATGATTAATGACTTCATCTAGAGTACTGCAGCCAGAACCTGGAAAGACATGGCATTCGTAGATGGAGGTTTGAACTCATCAGCACTTGCCTATCATGACAATCATGCTCTTGAGTACAAGTGGAAGCACAGATTGGCAATGATGATGAGGCATTGCCAAATTTGGGACAGAAGATACATGCTGTGAAATTCTACTTAGAAACAACAGAGTCTGCCCCTAACATCCTACCACAACTAAGCCACATCTCACACAACCTTAACTAACAAGGAGACTGAAGAGATGGCAGGATGTTTTGCTGGGCATGGTAAACATTCTTCATTACTATCTTGAGTACATCATGGAATATGTTCAAACATCCTATAAATATCTCATCTAAAATATTATTCATGTTGCTCTGTTAACTCTAGCATCTGCATCACTAAGCAACATAAGCAGAAGCCATAATACTTGAAGTGATCTCAGGCAGCCAGGCTAGGAGCTGGGTGGGAGGGAGCTCAGGACTTTGATTCACTTGAACTAGTCTTGATCTTATTTAAAATTCACTGAGCACTGTAGCGGGAAATTTTTCCCGCAAGTTGGGAGGAGTTAAGGTGGGAGGAGTAAGGAGAGGAAGAGGAGGAGTAAAGAGAGGAAGAGGAGAAGGAAGAGGAGGATCTCCAATGCTGGTTTCTCTGGCCGCCTGAGCTGGCGGTCTGAGCCAGGGGCCTGAGCCGAGAAGTGGCCTGTTTCTGCCTCGGCTCGTGGCCTCAGGCCTTGCCTAGTCAGTAACATGGCAGCTCTGTAACACAAGCAGATTGAGTGTCGTCGTTTCTAAATATCAAACACAAGTGGTGCCCTATATTAGGCGCCACTTTGTTGTGGGAGATATTTAAAATGACGGCATTCAATCTGGCTTTTCTAAATCAGCTGCCATGTTCCCAACTAGCCCAGGCCTGAGGCCATAAGTGAGTGGTGGAGGTGTGTTCTCGCTGCTGCTGTGGCTTAGATGGCTGGAGAAACTCGCTTTGCTACCCGTGAGATGGCAGTATGGGAGATGGCTCTGCCAGTCTTCCATGCTGTCTCTACAAGGTTGGGCTGTCCCAGACCATCCTACCATCCATCCGGGCCCAGTAGGAAATGAGACTCTAATGTTTAAATATTAATCAAAGGCTTTATATAATTGGTAATGCTCAATTACAATATGCCCACATAATTATAGATGTTTATCAGTTAACTAACCTAGATAAAAGTTGTTACCCAGGACTGCTCTCGGTACATGTGTGGTCATCCATGGCGCCTCCTACATCTCTGCCTGTCCCTCGCCTGCTCCTCCTCTTCCTTCTCCTTAGTCCTCTCACCTTAGCTCCTCCTACAGAGCACTTCACATTTTTTCAGCCTGTACCAAGCAAAGTAGGCAATAAAAACAATGTACACTCTACAAATCACACTGCATGAGGGCCATTTATAATGGCCAAATTCTTTTTTTTTGAGACAAGGTTTCTCTGTGTAGCCTTAGCTGTCCTGGAACACACTCTGTAGATCAGGCTGACCTTGAAGTCAGAGGTCTTCCTGCCTCTGCTCCTGAGTGCTGGGATTAAAGATGTGCACCACCTGCCCAGATGACCATATTTATTTTTCAATTAAAGTATAATTACATCATTTCTCCCTTACCCTTTCCTCTCTCCTACCCCTCCATGTCCCACAATCTATCTATCTATCTATCTATCTATCTATCTATCTATCTATCTATCTATCACATATCTATCATCTATCCATTTAGTGTTACTTGTATGTATATGATTTCAGGGCTGATCATGGTATTAGATAGCCAATCAGGGAGCTCATCCCTGGGAAAGATTATTTCTCCTGCTCTTGGAATTCCTTAGTTGCCTCTAGTTTTTTTTCTCAACAGACAGAGACTATTAAAGAAAACCATAGCTAGTTGAGATGCAGAGAATATCTGATCATAGTGTACCCTGCCCTAATTGGTGTAACACAGCTCCTGTACCCAAGGCTCAGAGAGCATCACAGTAGAGCGGCAGAAAGATTGTAAGAACCAGAGGACCAGAAAATCTGCTCTGAGATAGTTTCTTCTAAAATGATGGGGAACTTTTTACCTATGATATTTCAACATATGGCTGCCTAAACAAGAGCTTTTTAAAATTACATAGCCTTTAGTATTTCACATATGAATTATGTTTTTCAATCATCTCCATTCCTCTTTGTGCCCCTTCAGTTTCTCACAGATCTCCCTCACATCCTCCTCACAACTTCATGTCTCATCCGTCTTTGTTTTTAAAAATGATACGCTGAGTACAATTAGTGTTGCTCATTTTTCACTGGTGTAAGGCCATACACTAGACCCTGAAAAACCTATCCTGAGCCACAATCCTGAAGCAAATTGACCCTTTCTCCCTCGGCAGCCCATCACTTGCCAAAAGCTTCTCTTTAGGGGTAGGGCCTCATGACCCTGGTCAGCTTGATCTTGTGAAAGTCCTGGGCAAACAAACACTGCCCCTCTCAGTTCATCAGTACAATAGCCCCCCACATGTCTAGAAGACAGTATTTTTTTTGGATGTTTTATTTACATTTCATATGTTGTCCCCTTACCCCATCCCCCACCCACCCAGGAACCCCCTATCCCTTCATCCCTCCTCCTTCTTCTCTGCGGATGTAACCCCTACCTACCACCCCATTCCCACCTCCACACCCTCAAATTCCCACCCCCTTGGGGCGTCCAGCCTTCAAGAGACCAAGGATCTCTTTTTCCACCTATGCCCAGCAGGGCCCTCCGCTCTTACATATACAGATGAAGACATGGATCCCTCCCTAAGTGCTCCCAGGCTGGTGGTTTAGACCCTGGGAGCTCTGGTTGGTTGGTATTGTTGTTCTCCTCATGGGGCCACAAACCCTTTCAGCTCCAATGGTCTTCACTCTAACTCCTCCATTGGGAACCCCATGATCAGATCAATGGCTAGTTGTGAGCATCTGCCTCTGAATATGTCAAACTCTTGCAAACCTCTGAGGGGACATCTATATCAGGCTCTTATCAGCATGCACTTCCTGACTTCCACATCAGCATCTACCTTTGGTGACTGCACATGGGATGGATACTCAGGTGGAATGGTCTTCAGACAGCCCCTCCTTCAGTTCTGTCCCTCACTTTGTCTCCATATTTGCTCCCTTGAATATTTTGTTGCTCCTTCTAAGAAGGATCGAAGCGCCCCCACTTGGTCTTCCTTCTTTATGAGCTTCATGTGGCCTGTGAGTTGAATCTTGGACATTTCAAGGTTCTGGGCTAATATCCAATAATCAGTGAGTGAATACCATGTGTGTTCTTTTGTGATTGGCTTACCTCACTCAGGATGATAATTTCTAGTTCCATCCATTTACCTAGGAACCTCTCGAATTCATTGTTTTTAATAGCTGAGTAATACTCCATTGTGTAAATATACCACATTTTTTGAATCCATTCCTCAGTTGAAGGACATCTGAGTTCTTTCCAGCTTCTGACTATTATAAATAAGGCTGCTATGAACATAGTTGAGCATATGTCCTTGTTATATGTTCGAGCATCTTCTGGGTGTATGCCTAGGAGTGATATAGCTGGATCCTCAGGTAATCCTATGTCCAATTTTCTGAGGAACCACCAGACTGATTTCCAAAGTGGTTGCACCATCTTGCAGTCCCACCAACAATGGAGGAGTGTTCCTCTTTCTCCACACCCTCGCCAGCATCTACTATCATCTGAGTTTTTTATCTTATCCATTCTGACTGGTGTGAGATGGAATCTCAGGGTTGTTTTGGTTTGCATTTCCCTGATGACTAAGGATACTGAACATTTCTTTAGGTGCTTCTCGGCCATTCGAGTTTCCTCAGTTGAAAATTCTTTGTTCAGCTCTGTACCCCATTTTTTAATAGGGTTATTTGGTTGTCTGGAGTCTAATTTCTTGAGTTCTTTATATATATTGGATATTAGCCCTCTATCAGATGAAGGATTGGTAAAGATCTTTTCCCAATTTGTTGGTTGTCGTTTTGTCCTATTGACAGTGTCCTTTGCCTTACAGAAACTTTGCAATTTTATGAAGTCCCATTTGTCAATTCTTGATCTTAGGGCCTATGCCACTGATGTTCTGTTCAGGAACTTTTCCCCTGTGCCCAAGTATTCGAGGCTCTTCCCCACCTTCTCTTCTATTAGTTTCAGTGTATCTGGTTTTATGTGGAGGTCCTTTATCCACTTAGACTTGAGCTTTGTACAAGGGGATAAGAATGGATCAATTTTCATTCTTCTACATGTTGTCTTCCAGTTGAACCAGCACCATTTGTTGAAAATGCTGTCCTTTTTCCACTGGACAGTTTTAGCTCCTTTGTCAAAGATCAAGTGACCAGAGGTGTGTGGGTTCATTTCTGGGTCTTCAATTCTATTCCATTGATCTTCCTGCCTGTCTCTGTACCAATACCATGTATTTTTTATCACTATTGCTCTGTAGTACAGCTTGAGGTCAGGGATGGTGATTCCTCCTGAAGTTCTTTTATTGTTGAGAATAGTTTTTGCTATCCTGGGTTTTTTGTTATTCCATATGAATTTGAGAATTTCCTTTTCTAACTCTGTGAAGAATTGAGTTGGGATTTTAATGGGAATTGCATTGAATCTGTAGATTGCTTTTGGTAAGATGGGCATTTTTCTTATATTAATCCTGCCAATCCATGAGCATGGGAGATCTTTCCATCTTCTGAGATCTTCTTCGATTTCTTTCTTCAGGGACTTGAAGTTCTTGTCATAGAGGTCTTTCACTTGCTTGGTTAGATTCACACCAAGGTATTTTATATTATTTGCGACTATTGTGAAGGGTGTCATTTCCCTAATTTCTTTTTCAGTCTGTTTCTCTTTCATGTAGAGGAAGGCTACTGATTTATTTGAGTTGATTTTATAACCAGCCACTTTGCTGAAGTTGTTTATCAGGTTTAGGAGTTCTCTGGTGGAAGTTTGGGAGTCACTTAAGTATACTATCATATCATCTGCAAATAGTGATATTTTGACTCCTTCCTTTCCTATTTGTATCCCTTTGACTTCTTTTTGTTGTCTAATTGCTCTGGCTAGGACTTCCAGTACTATATTGAATAGGTAGGGGGAGAGTGGGCAGCCTTGTCTAGTCCCTGATCTTAGTGGGATTGCTTCAAGTTTCTCTCCATTTAGTTTGGTGTTGGCTACTGGTTTGCTGTAAATTGCTTTTACTATGTTTAGGTATGGGCCTTGAATTCCTGATCTTTCCAAAACTTTTATCATGAAGGGATGTTGAATTTTGTCAAATGGTTTCTCAGCATCTAGTGAGATGATCATGTGGTTTTTTTCTTTGAGTTTGTTTATATAGTTTATATTGATGGATTTTCAAATATTGAACCATGCCTGCATTCCTGGGATAAAACCTACTTGATCATGATGGATGATTGTTTTGATGTGTTCTTGGATTCAGTTTGCTAGAATTTTATTGAGTATTTTTGCATCAGTGTTCATAAGGGAGATTGGTCTGAAGTTCTCTTTCTTTGTCGGGTCTTTGTGGGGTTTGGGTATGAGTGTAATTGTAGCTTCATAGAACGAATTGGGTAATGTTCCTTCTGTTTCTATTTTGTGGAATAGTTTGAAGAGAATTGGTATTAGTAGAAGACAGTATTTTTTAGCAGTATTCCCTGACCTCTGACTCTTACAATCTTTCATCCCCCCTTTCCACGGTGTTTCCTGAGTCTTAGAAAGGAGGATATGAGATAGATATCTCAGTTAGGGCTGAGCACTCAACAGTCACTTATTCTCTGTACTTTGATCAGGTTTTGGTGGGAGGGCTTTACATTATTCATTACTGGAGGAAATCCCCAGAAAAATGCAAGCTGTCCTCCCTATCAGCATGAATACAAAGAACATGTAGATAAAGGATCACTAAAAGAATTCAGAGCAATCTCTCATATATCTGTCACATAATGTCCAAGCTTTTTACCCTCGCATTATATGCTACAATGGGGAAGCAGCACCACTGGGAAGTTTCCCATTTCATTCTACAGTTAGAGAGAGTCATGAATACATTCTGCAGGAAACCGTACGGGTCCACTGTTAAGGGGAGCACATTTATATTATCACTTCTTTCTGCTGAAATATCTCATAATCAAACCTGAGCCTTGCCATGGATTTTAAAATAGCAGTTTTCATAATAGGACATTTTGTATAGTTTTGACACATGATATGAAGCTCCAACACAAGAATCAAACCCACAATACCCTTTTTATTATCTGAACTAATGTTGATCCATGTAGTTACTACATCAGACACTTTACACTAGTGCTCAGGTACAATGGTTTCTTCCTGGAAGACACAGTAGGAATGTGTGGTATAAAAGCACTCCTCCCTTCTACAGAACTTACCACTGGCATAGCAGTAAATGGGGATGGTGACCAACATGAACAGAATCACCAGCTTCATGTTGAGACAGTCCCTTTGGGTTGCTCTGTTGTCCAAGACAGAAATCAGGAAACTCTCTGGAGTTGAGACCTCAGTGTTCCTCTATTTATTGCTTAGGAAACCACCTTAGTCTCATCCAATAAATAAGAACACAAGTCATATGTTTAATATGGCAATGCACCAGGATGAAGAAGAGCCAAAGAACACAGATTTCATTGAAGAAAGCAAGGAAACAGATTTTTGAGACTCTAGGGAACCACTAATGAGGAATGGCAATAGCAAAGTGTTGGCAAGTGCTACTAATGTCCAATGCAGATTACAGCGTTGTGGGTTGATTTTATCATCTGCTGTTCTGGTTTTTAAGTTGGTCTCATTTTTCCTCTTCCCTTCCTCCCTTCTCATCTTTTTCTCACTTTATTTGCCTTGTTAATATCATCCCTCATTTTGTTCCTCCTTCTCCTTCTTTCCTGTCCTCCTTTTCTCCCTTATAAGCTTCAAGCTGCTTTAGTACATGTCTGTCATTTTCTGTTGATTTCAGTGGTTGGGCTTAGTTCATTATGGCATACTCCCTCTGCTAGATAAACTTTCCTTTTGTTAACCTTCTTTGTAAATCCCTTCCAGTTCTGGAGGGGGATTACCAATTTTGATTCATTATTGAACAGGTCTGGAATCTAAAATCTCCTCAGGTCCTGTCCTTGGGAGAGTTATAATGCTTTTCTCTCTAAGATTTCTTTTAGACATTGGTAAAATGAGGATTTGAATGACACCATGATGAGCTTTTATCAGGATAACAGATGCTGTGTGTTAAAAAAAAATCTGTCATATTGCATAGTATAAGACAACCTTTAATAAACGGGAGTTTCTGTGGCTGGAGAGATGGCTCAGCAGTTAAGAGCACTTAGTTCTTTTGCAAAGGAACTGAATTCAGTACCCTGCACTCATATAGTATCTCACAGTTACTCTAGTTTCAGGGGATCTCATGCCATTTTCTAACCTCTCTGGGTTCCTGAATGCATGTCTTACACTATGTCTAAGCTATCAGTCACACACTTATGCACAGAAAATAAAATGAGTAAATACTTGAACTGTAAGTTTAATTTCTGGAGTAGCCATTATGGAAATGAGTATCAAGATTTCGCAAAACCTGAATCACTCATGATTCACCTCTATCTTTGGGATATACACCTGATGGAATCTGAGTAAGACTACTGCAGAGGCACTTGCATATCTGTGTTTGTTGCATTATTCACAATAAATAAGTTATAAATCCAGCTTAGATTATTATATAAACAGATGACTGCACAAATAAACTGTTTTCATATATTTAATATTTATATGTGTATGTAATAGGGGTTTAATCGGGTATAAAGAAGATTAAGAATTTGTCATTTATATGAAAATGAATGCAACAAAACAGCATTACATTGAGTGAAAACTATTAAATCAGAAAGACCAATGTCACATTTACTTTTATATGTACAATGTATATTTTATATGAATCATATATATACATACATACAAATGCACATACACACATATGTATACACACACACACACACACATACACACACATGTACACATAGATTGAAAACAAGAAATCAGAAAGGAAATATTTGGGGTGAGGACAGGGACCAGAAAGAGAAAAGAAAAATGATGTGGTAGGTTATGTGAAAAAAGAACAAATGTGGGCTGGAGAGATGGCTCAGTGGTTAAGAGCACTGACTGCTCTTCCAGAAGTCCTGAGTTCAGTTCCCAGCAACCACATGGTGGCTCATGACTCTCTGTAATGGGATTTGGTGTCCTCTTCTCTCTGAAGACAGTTATAGTGTAGCCATAAATACAATAAACAAATCTTTAAAAAAAGAACAAATGTATATTGCTATATGCATAGAATGTCACAATGAAACCTAATATTTGCACATCACCATTACCCCCAAATTGTTTACTTTTAGTTTGGGTATTTTTTAAAAGACAGTGTTTTTCTATGTACCTATAACCTGGCCTGTAACTCACTATGTAGACCAGCCATATAATAATCAAAGCACCACACATACAGCACAAAAAAAAAGAATATTAAAAGTTGCAAGGGAAAAACATCAAGTAACATATAGACCTATTATTGTATGATCAGTATACCAAAGGCAATAAAATAGGCCCACAGCAAGCAATAGGTCTGAATTAACAATTAAAAGCCTGCCTACAAATAAAAATCTGGGATCAGATATATTTACTGCTGAATTTTACCAAGGTTCCTAAGAAGATCTAGTATCAATACTACGCAAACCTCAAGAGTCTGGCCAAGGGGTGAGACCTATGAGCTACAATAGCAATCAATCGGTCAGGCAACATGGACCCATTGATGTAGCAGTGGCGTGACTGTTGTGATGGTAACTAATCACTCTTTGGGTTGGATTTGAGGATTGTTTCACAGAGGGAACTGATGTCTAGTATTATAAATACAACCAAAAGCCCATCCATGGCTCAGGAGATCTTTTGCCCTAGGGAGGGACAGACTATTTTTGCTTAGCTGCATCTACATAGTGCCAAACTGCCCTCTAAATATTTACGCTAATCATACAGACAAATACTATGCTTATATTTAATCACAGAAGCTTCTCTACACAGAACTGTTGTGAACACAGAGGCTCATGGCTTTTCAAGTGCTGAGAATAAGTGATGTTTGAGTGCTCAGCCCTAAAGAAGATATTTGTATGAACTCCTTTAAGACTCAGGGAACAATTAGACCAGAGGTCAGGGAACATATGAGAGCTGGATGATGGGGAGAAAGGTTATGAAATGCTGTTTTGAACATGACACAGCTGCTACAGATCATAATCTCAAAGCAGCTACAGTTGCCTGGACTAGGCCTGCACCAAACTAGACCTAGCATAAGTCAGGGAAGACTCACTGAGCCATACCCAACCCTGATGAACTACTTGCTACTGGAAGATTCTGGAAGAAGGCAGTCATTGTCTTCAGTTGAGTACTGTAGTTTGGGTATACAGTTGAGTGTGAAGTTAAAATAATAGTCAGTCTATAGGCTTATATATTTGAATGTTTGGTTACCAGTTGGTGGACTGTTTAGGAAGGAGTAGTAGACATGGCCTTACTGGAAGGAGTATCCCACTAGGGAAAGCTCTCAAGTTTTAGAAGCTCAGTCTTGCTTTCTCTCTACCTCCAACTTGAAGATACAATATATGGTCTTAGTTATTGCTCTAGTGCCATGCTTGCCTGCCTGTTGCCATGTTCCTTGCCATGATGGACATGGACTAACCCTCTGAAACAGTAAACAAGTGCCAAGTTAAATGCTTTCATTGAAACATACCATATACTCTAATAAAATACTTGTCCAGGGTTATTATTATAAAAATAGAATTTTAATTATTTTATAGTTTAGGAGGTTACATGTCAAAAGCTGAGAGGTCAAACTCATTTCCATTATGATGAAGATTACAGAAGATGGCATGTGTGAGTGGCTCATGAGATATGAATAACTCAAATTTCAAAGCAGAGGGACTGAATTTCAAGCTAAGGGTTACATAATTAACTTCAAGAGCAACATAGAGTAACCTATGAACCTTTTACTAGACCTCACCTCTTAAGGCTCCACAGAGACCACAAACTATCACTGTTCTTGGAATAAGCCTTTAATTACAGAAATTTGGATGTAGTATTTCAATATTAATTAATTAATCAACTAACTAACTTTACAACCCTATAGTAACATCTCCTCCCTTCTATCCTCCCAGTTCCTCTCTCTAACTTCACCTCCATCAAGTCTTCCTTTGTCTTCAGAAAAGTCTCAGAAAAAGGGAAGCCTCCCATGGATATCAACCCACCTTGTCATATCAAGTTGTAGTAGGACTAGGCCATTTTCTAAGGTATACCAGTTAGGGAAAGGGATCCAAAGGCAGGCAACAGACTCAGACAAATCTCCTGCTGTTAGGAGGCCCACATGAAGATCAAGCTGCACAACTGTTATATACGTGTGAGGGTCTAGGTCCATCCCATGTATGCTCTCTGCATTTTCAGTTTTAATAGTTGGGTCATCTCTTTTTGTTGGTTTGGGTGTTTGTAAATCCTGCTCACCTTTTCAAAATGCTAACTTTTTGCTCTGTTGACTTCTTGTATTTTTTTGTTTTGCTTATATTTCAATAATGTATGCCTCAATCTTTACTGTGTTTTATAATTTATCTATTTGTGGTATGAGGTGTTATTTTCTAATATCTGAGGGTACATATCTCTTTAATAATTTTTAACTTTACTTTTTAAAAATTTAGTTATGTGTGACAGGATGTTCACTTGAGTAAAGTGCCTTACAGGCCAGTAGAGGAATCGGATCCCTTGGGGCTGGAGTGACAGGCAGTTGTGAGCCACTCAAAGTGGGTGCTGGGCTCAAACACAGGTCCTCTGCAAGAGTAGTGTGCTTGCTCTCTTCACTACTAAGCCATCTCTCCAGCCCTCTAATTTTTTAAAGGTGGGCATTTATAGTGATAGGGCTCTTACAATGACTTTCACTGCATCTTACAAGTCCAAATATTCTGTCATTTTCTTTTCTTAGATTTTATGAATTTTTAAAAATCATTTATTTATTTATTTACACTCCAGATTTTATTCTTCTCCCAGTCTACCCTTTGACTGTTCCACATCCCATACCTCCTCCATGTCCCTTGTTTCCATGAGGATGTTCCCACCCGCAGCCCCCCACCCAATCAGCCCTCTAAACTCCCTAGGGCTTCCAGTCTCTTGAGAGTTACTTGCATCCTCTCTCACTGAACCCAGACCTGGCAGTCCTCTGCTGAATATGTGTTGGGAGCTTCATATCAGCAAGTGCATGCTGCCTGGTTGGTAGTCCAGTGTTTGAGATATCTTGGGGATCCAGGTTAATTGAGACTGCTGGTCCTCCTACAGGGTTGCCCTCCTCCTCAGCCTCTTCCAGCTTTTCCAAAATTCAACCACAAGAGTCAGTAGCTTCTGTCCATTGGTTGGGTATAAATATCTGCATCTGACTTTTTCAGCTG